AATGTCTATTGTGTCCTTTTTATTAACAGTTCGACAATGCTAATAAAAAGATGTTGGGAAACGTTGAGTCCCAAAATGAAAAATTAGTCAAAAGAATAAATTCTATACACTACTGTAAAAAGAAAAAGAAGAAATTCCTGACACGTCTTTAAATGTTACTAAGAAATTCTGTGTATGTAGCTGATCTAGATTTATTTTCAACGAATTCTCTTTTCCGGTATCGTTATTTTTACTGTTTTTTTTTCAAGGATAGAATGATGTTTAAATGAAATACCTAATGAGATAATTTTTGAAAGAAAATAATGCTCGTTTTAAAGTCGTCTGTGGAAAAAACATTTCTTCTGTTAACACGCGGTAAAGCCACGAATATTTGAATCGTTAAATTAGCCAACGTTACAGTAGATACTTATATTTTTATTGCAGGGTTGTTCATTGTCCTAAATCTGTTAATTACCACAGGCACGTGACCATACACTTACATACTTTCTATTGACATTGATCATGTAGATTTCATATAGATAATGATAAACACACATTTGTTTCGGAAAAAAAAACTAGATTTCTGCTGATCGTCTTATTTTTTTACTTTTCTGCAACAAAATTGAAAGCATGAAAATTAATGCTATAAAATATAATGTTTTGGCTTAAACTTTGATAAATGATGAAAAATGAACAATTAATTACGAATCAATAATGATATATTACAACTGAAACTGTGATATATTTATTACCATACATCCTTGATTTACTGTCACTGTTTATCACAACATGATAGTATGTAAAGACTAAATTCTCGATAATTCAGTGTTTCCTGGTTGTGCTGAAAGCTTTAAGCGAAGAATATATTTGTGAAATATATTTGTGAAAATATATGAAGAAATGTTTTAAGTTAAATTCACATTTTAATTTGGAGATAAGATTATTGAAATGTCTATGTGAACAACCGTTGTCTTTGTCTTGAATTTTAAATTTTTATCAAAAAGCTTATGAAAAGATGTTACCTTGAGAAGTTCTAATGTTTACTGATGATGTCTTGTTTTTCCAAAAAAAAAAAATAATAAATAAATAAATAAATAAATAAAAAATAAAATAAGTATTGACCACGGTCATCGTCCATAACCACCATAATTTGAAATCAAGGACACGACAGATATATTTTTCAGCATCTGTCGCTTATTTCTATTTTCTCTCCCTTCAAAGGGAACAACAGAGAAAGTACTCACATTCCAGTTTATCATGTTTATGAATATTCCATTTCTTATTTCTATATAGCAACATTCCTGCTTTTATTCTAACGTATTGTTGTTTCTATGTCACGGTGGATGCGATATCCTTGTGCTTGATTCCTATAGCACGATATCCGTTCAAGATGGCGACCACTGCAGCTGCACTCTAAACACAGGTTTCCGAGAGATCAATGTGTTTGAATTAATACTTAGATGACATGTCGATATATATTTTTATTGTTTTAGAATATAATATTCAAATCTATTAAACTAACTTCAGCATTGCTGATTTTCCAATGATAATTAAATCTAACTTTTGGCATTTAATTTTATAAATTGACTTTCCTCAGTTGCCTTATAGTTAAAACTATAACATGGGGGCAAATCTTACCTAACAGGTATTTATAGTACATTGCATGTTTTTGTGTGATATTACATGTACCTTAACTTACCTATGGACAACAACCTCGCGTCAGTAAACAATAACAACAACAACAACAAACACTGACCGCAAATTACCATACGTATTTATTCAGAACGACAAAGAAGTAAACATCAACGGACCCTTTGTTGGGATTTCATTTTATGAATTTTCTGATATCTCAAATTAGATTTTAAAAATCAACACGTTTTTAACAAAAGAGGAAAAAAATAAATGATTATCGATATGAAATGAAGACTATAAAATTTGAACGAAACAAAAGTCAAGATGATGGCGTTTGACAAACTATAATATATAATGTAGAAAAAAAAAAGAATTCGGTTTAACCATACAAATGTTTACACCAAAACATTTTCGAAAACTGATTTTAACTTAAACATATCATTTCTGTGTAACTAGTGGTATGCATCAATGCCTTCATCGTCGTGTTGCGGTTAACGACGACACGTGTTGACAACCTGTCAAGTTACTTATGATTATACTGAGGATGTGGTGACCATCTTCGTGGTGAATCGGGGCGACTCTGTGACAGGACATGCATGTACAACTATTTGTCATGATACAATGACCATTATTTTTCATGCAGATTTTTTAATACTTTACAGTCTTCCCATTCAAAGTTTTTTTTCTTTTATGTTTTCGTGGTTTGAGTAAAAAAAAAACACGGATCGATTTTTCGTGCCATCGATGTGCAGAAATAAGAAAAATTACCAGCGAATCACTACTCAAAGATGTTAGTAAAAAGTAATATTTAAAGAGTTATATTTGCAGGTTTTGATTAAACTGGTTAATTTCCAATGTCCTTACCTCACCTGGATCTATACGTACAACGTAGACGGAGTAAAATTCGTTAATGAGGTATTTTTACATTTCGCATTTGAAATACAACCACGAAAATCACTGAAATTAAAATCTCGAGAAAATAACAACTTTTACAGTAACCTTGACAAATCTCCATCTAAACACTTTCAAAACAAATATCAAAGGTATAAAGAACCGTAAATGTAATCAATTTGGCGCAACTTTGAAGCACGTCACCATTTTTTGGGCAAATTAGCGCAATAATAGATTTGCACATCAACATTATTGCTATATAATCAATAACACTAAATGAAATCAGCGCAGTCATATTTCAGAGAGGAAAACGCTCTAAAATAAAATTACCGCCAAAATTTGTGCGTTTACAGCATGGCACTACAATGTAACTGTATCATACAATTTGACTCACTTTTTGTATCCTTAAATGCTATAATCGTCTTTTTAATATGGTTGTTGTTCATTATCGCGAAGGTTGTAATTATTTTTTATCAATTGGCATCTTTTAAAATAGTAAGTTGTAGAAAACCAGAACGTAAATAAAAACATATATTTATATATTATTGAATGACATTCTAGGTACTGGGCGTATTTTTCTTCCATATACGTTTCTAAGATGGAGGGATAATTATGGAAAAGTAACAAAATTTTCTTACAACTTCTTTCTAACAAATAAATACTAGTAATTGGTACTCCATTTTCGATATAATCTGTTTCAATTTTAAATATTTGCTGAAACTTATTTCGTTTGGAGTTGAAAATGTTAATTTTTCTATGTCCGCTATTTATAGTTCTGCAGTAGCTTGGAATATATCTTGTACATGTATATATTTACTGTGCATCGATAACTCTCGCACAGCCGCCTCCAGAATCACGGTTTATTCAATAGTCTACCATTACTGTAGACAGATATAAGACAGTTATGTTATTTATTGACACTAAGAATCGTAACGATGTCACAGGAAGCGGCGACGTACTCAACACGTAATGAATGGTAGTGAAAATATACACATGTATTTGACGGTTCAGGTATAATGACCTGCACGTGGCAGATTTACAGGTGTACACCTTATATCATATATAGGATACAGTTTATATATAGATACAGAAAAAATCTCATATATATGATTTTCAATTCATATGAGAATTGTGATAACAGTGTACTTATGTGATAAAGGGTTTGATTACTCTGATAACAGTGTAGTTATGTGATAATGGGTGTGATTACTCTGATAACAGTGTAGTTATGTGATAAAGGGTGTGATTACACTGATAACAGTGTAGTTATGTGATAATGGGTGTGATAACACTGATAACAGTGTAGTTATGTGATAATGGGTGTGATAACACTGATAACAGTGTAGACAGTGTAGTTATGTGATAATGGGTGTGATAACACTGATAACAGTGTAGTTATGTGATAATGGGTGTGATAACACTGATAACAGTGTAGTTATGTGATAATGGGTGTGATTACACTGATAACAGTGTAGTTATGTGATAAAGGGTGTGATTACACTGATAACAGTGTAGTTATGTGATAAAGGGTGTGATTACACTGATAACAGTGTAGTTATGTGATAAAGGGTGTGATTACTCTGATAACAGTGTAGTTATGTGATAAAGGGTGTGATTACTCTGATAACAGTGTAGTTATGTGATAAAGGGTGTGATTACTCTGATAACAGTGTAGTTATGTGATAATGGGTGTGATTACACTGATAACAGTGTAGACAGTGTAGTTATGTGATAATGGGTGTGATTACACTGATAACCAGGTATTTATGTGACACTTTTTTTACACTGATAACATGGTATGAACATGATACTGTGTGTTATTTTAATGATAACAAGACTGTTTCTGTAACGTTACAAGACTGATAACAGGTATTTTGTGATAAAGGGTGTGATTACACTGTTTCGTATTTTGATTTCTAATAATCATATTAGAATTACCATCAGATCGCCATGTTATTAATTATTGTTGAATAATAAACTACTTGATAATATTTTTACAAATAAACTCACTGTGATCAAGAACTGATATGGAATAATGACATAACATCACCTGTATACTTTTGTACCAGTCAGTCTGACAATGGAGACATGAGAGCCAGGTCCAAAAGAATAGAAGAATATAAATGAAAATCAGAAACGATATACTACACGTTAAGATAAGATAATGTTTATATTTTAACCCATTTATAAGAGAACATTATTGCAAGCAAATTTCTGGCTCAACTGAATGAGTTTTAGAAAGTGTGATATCTTATATACTTTCAGTCTTACACCATCAAAATTTTATGTGAATGATTGAATACAAACAGGGAGGTCAGCAATTTGACAAATAAACTGCATATTATCAGATGCTTTTTAATCATATTTCTTTCGCAGTATTTAAGAAGTCACTTGTTTATGAATACTGGTGCTGCTTTAAGTTGTTGCCCCTCTTAATAATTTTTTTTTTAAAAATCACAGAAGATACTGCACTTTTTTAATAATTTATTTTTCTTACTTTACTTTTTACATTGTATATCACACATTTCAAAAATATTCATTTTGAAAACAAAACAAAAAAATGTTGAGTATCAAATATATTCAAACACCCATTGTTCATTTATCATGCTACACAAATATATGCAAATATATTTACTTATTTACAAATGTCATAAAGCCATCCACACATAAATAAGATATTAAAGATGTAACAACAGTTTCTCTTTGTTCTAAACAACAACAAAATATTCCTACAGAATTAAACAGAACTTCTTCAATAGGTGAATCATTGTCAGAAATGAAACTGTCGTCATTCTAATTAATTAGGGTAAGTGCTGATAATGGTGTCTCCCTTCAAAATAAACAAAGTTGAATATCATCTGATATATTCTAATATAAATAATTTCTGAAGAAATGAAATAAAAATAAACAAAAAAAATATGATACAAGGCGGTGACTATATACTCCCTTAAACAATTTCTGGGGAGCATAAAAACATGACACCTTTGTATTGAGCTTACAAATGTTCAACAGAACAATTTTATTCATATTTATTAAATTGAATTTATTTCACAGAATTTGTCTTTATAATCATTGCTATGTCCTGAAATAGGGGAAAAGAAAAACATGAAAGGTATGCAATTATTCGATGAAACTAATAACTCATCCTTATTATATATCCAGACCCTATACTACCAATTTATTTAGTTTGTCTTTTCCTACTCTTTTGTATATCATATATTTGTATACATCACAAACATAAGATAGCAAATTGAGTTTCACATCAAACAAAATTAATTTCTTCATAATACTTTGATAATCTGCCAATTTTCTTAAAATTTAAATTCATCATATGTTAATGTTTAATTTAACATTGGACTAAATCATCAGGAATTTTTTAATCCCATCAGTCAAATTTGAACACTTCATACTACAACAACATTAAAGGGATATTCCATACAAGTTAGGATGTCATAAGATGCTTAGAATACTGTACAAAATTATCTACTGATGTTTTTATAGAAATCATACACTTCAATTTACTATTTAAACAAACATATGTTATCTTATTTCCAGGATTCTTTATAGATCTGTCTAAATTGATTTTTAAATGTTTGTGCAGCTCTGATTGAGTCATAACAGGTTTGCGTTGTTATAAGCTGAAGAGAATGAAAATGTAAATTATAAAATCAACAGAAAGTAAGTCTAAAGAAGTCAAAAACAAATTGTAACACCAGCTGAACATTTTGTGAACAGTATTCCCTTGAGTAATTATGTGTACCACACACCATAAAATCTATGATCCTGTGTCCTTTTAATTCCAGGTTTCTGATACGCTATTTTGTTTTTTTGGCTGGGAGTATTCCCAACAATTTCACCTGTCCAATGAGTTCTTAAACAGTACAGAACAGCAAGAAATTTGCAAATTGGGTGGAATGTCCCTTTAAAAAATCCAAAAACCAAATTATTGATTAAAAAACACAGTTCTTAAGAGTTTATAGTCAAATTAAAAACAAAATATACCTGAGATGACATTAAGTTTCAACTACAGTATATACAGTCATTATAGATTGTTCTTATTAACAGAATTAATCACACTATTGTCAGTCAGTCTATCAAAGTAACTATTCATATATGACACATTAGGTAAGAGGGTGGAAATGTATTTGTCTTACCATGTGAACTGTATCAATGAAAAAAGTTATACTATCACAAACATTTTTGAAAACACAGGAAACTATGACTATTGTTTAATGTTTGAAAATAAAATTAAACAACCATTCATGAACTGACCTTTCCTACCAGTGGGAGTCTGCAGGATCTGGTAGATCTTTGAAAACATTTGATCCAGCAAAGTGTCTTGTAAATCTCAAATGACCAAAAAGGTTCACAAATACCTACACAAGAGTAGTATGATAATAAGCGATTTAATTTCCACATTTCCATACTATGAATTAACATAATTATTTCATGACTTTACTCTGCCTCTTCCTCCTCTGAGCTGGATTTGATATGGACTAGAACTGAACCCTTTGATACAGTTTCACCTTCTTTGAAGAACACCTTTTCTACCACTCCAGCTGATGGTGCATTGATGACATACTGTGAAAATTAAACAATATAACAAAAACGTTCAAACATCAAATAAAGAAAAGAAGACATCAATGAAATCTGTAAAGTCCTGCTCTCACAAACCTCTGTATTACACCTACTCCCTGCTCTCACAAACCTCTGTATTACACCTACTCCCTGCTCTCACAAACCTCTGTATTACACCTACTCCCTGCTCTCACAAACCTCTGTATTACACCTACTCCCTGCTCTCACAAACCTCTGTATTACACCTATACAAACCTCTGTATTACTCTCACAAACCTCTGTATTACACCTACTCCCTGCTCTCACAAACCTCTGTATTACACCTACTCCCTGCTCTCACAAACCTCTGTATTACACCTACTCCCTGCTCTCACAAACCTCTGTATTACACCTACTCCCTGCTCTCACAAACCTCTGTATTACATATACTCCCTGCTCTCACAAACCTCTGTATTACACCTACTCCCTGCTCTCACAAACCTCTGTATTACACCTACTCCCTACTCTCACAAACCTCTGTATTACATATACTCCCTACTCTCACAAACCTCTGTATTACATATACTCCCTGCTCTCACAAACCTCTGTATTACACCTACTCCCTGCTCTCACAAACCTCTGTATTACACCTACTCCCTGCTCTCACAAACCTCTGTATTAAGCCTACTCCCTGCTCTCACAAACCTCTGTATTACACCTACTCCCTGCTCTCACAAACCTCTGTATTACACCTACTCCCTGCTCTCACAAACCTCTGTATTACACCTACTCCCTACTCTCACAAACCTCTGTATTACACCTACTCCCTGCTCTCACAAACCTCTGTATTACACCTACTCCCTGCTCTCACAAACCTCTGTATTAAGCCTACTCTCATAAACCTCTGTATTACATATACTCCCTGCTCTCACAAACCTCTGTATTACATATACTCCCTACTCTCACAAACCTCTGTATTAAGCCTACTCCCTGCTCTCACAAACCTCTGTATTAAGCCTACTCCCTGCTCTCACAAACCTCTGTATTAAGCCTACTCCCTGCTCTCACAAACCTCTGTATTACACCTACTCCCTGCTCTCACAAACCTCTGTATTACACCTACTCCCTGCTCTCACAAACCTCTGTATTACACCTACTCCCTGCTCTCACAAACCTCTGTATTACACCTACTCCCTGCTCTCACAAACCTCTGTATTACACCTACTCCCTGCTCTCACAAACCTCTGTATTACACCTACTCCCTGCTCTCACAAACCTCTGTATTACACCTACTCCCTGCTCTCACAAACCTCTGTATTACACCTACTCCCTACTCTCACAGACCTCTGTATTAAACCTACTCCCTGCTCTCACAAACCTCTGTATTACACCTACTCCCTGCTCTCACAAACCTCTGTATTACACCTACTCCCTACTCTCACAAACCTCTGTATTACACCTACTCCCTACTCTTACAGACCTATTATTGTTTTGACTGTATTGACTGCTTAGTTGTTTTCATATCCAACAGTTAAAAACTTCACACTGCCAATACACTGAAATGTCATGATATAGACAATGTTATAACACTGCTAGTTCACACAGTACACCAGGATGTTTTTGCCCAAGCTTATTTTTGTTTCAATCATTGATTTACCCTCTCTGTTCATGGATGAAATGGGAAAAAAATTAAACAGGGGCGGAATTCCCAGTATACAGAAGTACTGACAACTAGCTAATCTGTCCTTCCTTCCACCCAAAAAAGCTAGACAGTAAGTTAAAAGCAGCAGTACTAACTCAAAGATAAACAATTTTAAGTTATAGATTTAGTGAACAGGTCATGTATCTCCTTAATCATGTACCCCCTTAACACATGGGACAGAAATATGATACATGGCACTGCCATTGAAAGTATCAGGTTACAAGTAAGTGAAGTGAGAAAACAAATATTACACGATTGTTTCAGAGAGTCGTAAGAATGCATTTCTTTAATTTCTGAAGTTTTGATTAAGAAGATGACACAAAATTGATTCTGCATGAATTTTAAACACTAGTCACCTTTTACTTTATTTTTTCTTGGGTTCGTATGAAGGGAATTTGGCAGAATATTGGGGAGAAGACAAAAACATATTGTGAGGGAAATGAGAATAAAGGGGACTATGAGAATAAAGGAGACTGCAAAAATATGTCAGGAAGGTAGGATATATATCCAACCTGTGTCTTGAAACTTCTGTTTAAAATAACATTCAAACATACCTCCATTTTCATTGCTATCATCTTGACCATTGGCTGTCCCTTCTCCACATTGTCCGAAGGTTTCACCATAACCTTGTCTATGACTCCAGGCATTGGGGCTATAGGATCCCCAGTCTTGGCTTTGGCCCCTGATGCACCCAAATATTCAGGTACAGGCAGGGCCAAGTCTTGTCTGCCATCCTGAAGTCAGATATTCATGTTTATATTAAACATTCCCTTTTAAACAAGAACAAAGTCATTTTATCATATCTAGATTCCATGTTTATATTTTTGAAACACAATTTCAAGCGGTAATTATAATATATGTTGCAGGGATTATTGCCTTGTGAACATCCATTGTGATTTTGAGGCGAAGTTGCATGTTATCAAGAGTGAATGGGGTAAGGTGTCTTACCCAATGACAAAACCATGTTGGCACAGATTGGTCGGTTTCTCAGCTTCCTGAGATACATGTAGGGAGTATTTAACTATGTACCACAGATCTTCACTTGAAGTTACATAGGTCAACACTCTAACTGTCTGGGCTATTGCAACTATTGCTAGTTTTACATTTTCCAGTTTTTTCACAGTAAAATTTTAATATCAACTTTAATATTTATTTCAATCAATTTTGATGACAAACCAGAGAGAAAATGTGAATGGAGGAGCCCATCTGTACAATGTGAGCACTAGAGAATTTCCCGTCAATGTTACATGTAATCTTCATCTCGTCAGCCTCTTTACGCTGCGTGGCAGTCACATTGTACTGCTTGTTTTTAATTTTGATGGTGTAAGAGCCTTCACTGTTTGACTGTACAATTATCTCTACTTCTGAAAAATCAATAGAATTTCAAATTACTGCTCCACTTATAGAAATATATTAAATATACAGAAATAACAACATATAAGTAAGAACATGAAGATTGTGTGTTTCTCTTTGTCTTGTAAATATATTAAATGAAAAAGCTTTGAAAAAAGAATAGGAAAAAAATGGGGTTGGGGGAGAGGGAAGAAAATAATGATACTGAAGAAGTTCTCAAATTTGTTCAAATCAAATTACTTAGCTCATAAAATATTTCTAGATTTTCAAATTGACAAGAATTTTGTAGACATCTATTTCTAATATTGAATTTTGATATAATTGGTTTTGAAGTGAATTCCATGGACTAAGGAAAACAAAAATAAAAACATTAAGGAAAAGATTTCTTAGTTCTACAACTTCTAGAAAGGTCATATGTCAGGTAGATTAAGTGCTGAATAATCAATATACATATATTAAACCCCAGAAGATCTTACAAACTCAACTTGTTCTTTTTTTCTCTTACTTTGATCTCCATCCTGCAAGACAATTTTTCTTGTTGGTGGTGAGTTTATTCTAACAGCTGTACACATCGTGAAAGGTGAAAATGGATCTGAAAATTACAAGTAAAACTTTAGAGAACAAAAAAATAAAGACTGCAACATTATCAGCAAAAATAAAATCTAGAATCTTATGTTATAGAAACACCTAGAAACATGACTAGGATGACCTCAAAAAAAAAAGGTTGATTGTAAATTTCTTGTTATATTGGAAAAAATGGTGGGATTGTCATAAATCACAGTATCAATACAAGGGTCACTTGTAAGGAACTTGGCTTGTCAGTCTGATGACTTGGGCTAATGAAAGACAGTCAGATATTAAAATGATATGCATTATTTAGACGTTAAAAACAAATTGACAAACTACATTGAATTTTTTTCACTGTATATTTTAGATGCTGTTGTATATAAATTCACAGTCCTTGGCTGTGTCTGTCAACATTCTCTCTGAGAGCAGTTGGTAGATACCCCCTACCTACCCCCTCCCTTATACATCCCTAACCTGTACCTAGAGTATGGACACATCAGTCCTTGGCTGTGTCTGTCAACATTCTCTCTGAGAGCAGTTGGTATGTCCCCATCCCTCACATATCTAATGCATACCTAGTGTATTAACACATCTGTCCTTGGCTTTGTCAGCCTCTTGTATTACTAGGGAAACAGCTGCCTGACATAAGGCTGTATCAGATACTGTTCTCTCAGGAAAAAGTTCGTTATAGTGCTGTGGAATGAAGTCCGTATGCACATCAGCTGCCTCAAAGTGCCGGTTGTCTGCAAGGTCCATCAGAAACTGGATATTTGTACTCAAACCAAGCACCTTTTAAAAAACAGTATTGCAAACCAATTTACTTTCACATCAAGTAATGTGTGTGAGTTTATATGATAATGGTGTAAGTTACTGCTCTAATCTAACTTTTATTGTCCCTGTAAAGCATGCCATATTTTTACAATTTAATTTGAATGACCAATTTAGTAAAGTGCATTACAGACTCTTGAAAAATCATTTAAACAACTGAGGAAACAAGGAATGATATAATACATTGTACAGTAGTATTCTGGACGTCGGACCAAAGCTACAAATTCTCCTCATTGAAGTAACAACTTAATACCTAGATTCTGCATCCAGACAATCCATACTTACATGGTAATCAGCAAGGGCAGACTTGATGCGACGTAGAGCAGAACCTCTGTCCTCAGACCAAACCACTAACTTGGCAATCATTGGGTCATAGTGAACAGACACTTCATCACCTGTTAATGAAAATTTAACAATACCAGACTAACTGAAACTTCAAACATTTTCAAAACTATATTTCTTCGTGTAATTTGTAAAAATAGTAATCTTGCACTTTTTTCAAATCAATGTCTCCTAAAACAGTGTGTATTGTTGTGAGGTCCATCCCACTTTTTGTTATTTTTTATTCATTATTTTTTATTTTTGGGTAATGTTCCACCTATTTTAAATTTTGTATCAATGAAAACAAACCAGTTCCACTTAATGATTTCATACAATTTTGTATTTATTCATGAATTCATCAATGAATTCTAGCTCAGTAATACTAACCATTCACTATATTAAAATTTTCCCTTAAAATTCCTGAAGATTGTTTGATATGCACTATTTCACTCTCCTTACTAATGAGGAAAAGACGAGGACCATATCAAATACTCTCATTCATAAAAAAGTTCAGTTTCAGAGTATCAGATCACAGACAGAAGAGTTCCTTCTATATCTACAATCACTTACCTTGTCTGACACCTGTATCAATCCTGGTATTCTCATCAGGAGAGGGTGTGGTCAGATGTAGCAATGGCCCTGCCCCTGGCATGAAGGTGTTGTTAGGGTCCTCAGCATAAATACGTGCTTCAAAAGCATGACCTTTGAACTGTATGTCTTTCTGTTCCACAGGAATTTTCTCTCCACTAGCAACCTACACATCGTAGGAAAGTCTTCGCTAATTATAATCAATAAAAGCAGACAAAACAGAAAGGTTTGTTGTCCTTTGTCTCAATGTTGATAAACTCAGGAAAATATCCATTGGACAGTGTTGTTTGTATGAACACATCTACAGGTGTATAATAATAAACAATAGGTGATCTTTTAACCATGCATCTAAAATTCCCTTTAAAACTGATAATTTGTTAAGATTTTTTTTTCTAATCATAAAAATTTTACTTTTTTAATATACAAACATTGCTTTTCATTCTAGCAGGAGTATATTGGTAAAATATGAATTACAGCAGAATTGAGAGTCTAGTACTGATCCTGAACTGTTACAGGTCTGTACCAGTAACTATCTCAGTGACAAGGTTCTATTATATAGGGAGTGAGAGAGTGCTTACCATGATCTGTCACAGGTCTGTACCAGTAACTATGTGAGTGACAGGGTACTATTATAGAGGGAGTGAGAGAGTACTTACCCTGATCTGTCACAGGTCTGTACCAGTAACTATCTCAGTGACAGGGTACTATTATATAGGGAATGAGAGAGTACTTACCCTGATCTGTTACAGGTCTGTACCAGTAACTATCTCAGTGACAGGGTACTATTACAGAGGATGTTAAAGAGTTCATACCCTCATCTGCCACTCCACCAGGTCTGTACTAGTAATCATCTCAGTAACAGGGTACTATTATAGAGGATGTTAAAGAGTTCTTACCCTGATCTGCCACTCCACCAGGTCTGTACCAGTAATCATCTCAGTAACAGGGTACTATTATAGAGGATGTTAAAGAGTTCTTACCCTGATCTGCCACTCCACCAGGTCTGTACCAGTAATCATCTCAGTAACAGGGTGCTCCACCTGTAGTCTTGTGTTCATCTCCATAAAGAAGAACTTCTGGTGTTTGTCCATAATAAACTCAACAGTGCCTGAGAACAAACAAGTTTCATTCATTTATAGAAGAAACCTATAGCTTACTGCAGATAAGAAATCAGACCTCACAAGCTTCTTCCTAATGAGAGTAAAATATCACATTTAAATACAGATAAAGACTGCTGCATATTTGGTTTCTCTATTTCTTTATCTGACAGTACAGAATCATCTGAAGTCCACACTCCTATTGACTGCACACCCTACTGAATTGGTCCAAATCCCTACCAACATGATCCATGTCCTTACTGACTTGCACCACAAAACCTACTCTGTTGGTCCTTACTCATACTATCTTGATCCACACCCTTCATGATTTGATCCACACCCCTTCCAACTTGGTCCACATCCTTATCAACTTGGCCCACACACTAACAACTTGGTCCATGCTCCTTTCAACTTGATTCACACCGATACCATATTTTCCAGATTATAAACCCCAAATTTTTTCCTCATGAGTCGGGCATGTGGCTTGATAGTTCATAAGGTTATAGGTCAAATCATAGAACGATGGCCATGGTTGTTTACGATATGAAAGCTACGTGTTACATACAAGAAGAAATTACATGGGACTGTAAGAATTTGGTCAGCATACCAGGGCATTCATTAATATTTAACAGTGCAATAACTGATGGAGGAATTGTTTAGTAAACCATACATAACATCAGGCCTTACATCTGTGCATAGACAATCTGTGAACGCACCCAAGCCAAACAAGTTAGATATTTGCTATTTAACTTTTTAGAAATATGTCAATAAAATAAAGAATTATCTGTGTATGATGCAAACTTTATTAAATATTTCACAGATAATCTTGATAAATTTCCCTCCATTGTCTGTTATATCAGTGAACTGATTTTAAACGACCAGCATCATCTAAAAACATCCATAAAATAAATGATTATTTGAGCAAAATTCATCAGTAAACTTTATCAAATGTTACAGTTACGATCTTGTTATCTGTTACTTGTATATCAAACGTCAACAATTGTGATCACCATATCATAAGAAAGGATGCAGCTTATATTCCAGTGCAGCTTATATGTGGATCCAAAAATTGCAAAAAAAAATTGGCTCAGCAGCTTATAACCCAGAAAATATGGTACATGGTTCACAGGCATACGAACAACTGACCTGCTCCAACATAGTTGACAGCCCTTGCAGCCCGCACTGCTGCTTCACCCAAAGATCTTCTTACTTCATCAGACAGCCCAGGCTATTAATACAAAAGCATTAATCACATTGTTAACTAGAAGGACTCATTCATAAATCGAAAAACCAGAAATACATATTAACCAACAAAAACAAAAAAAAACACATATAATATATGAGTGAGCCAAATAGGACTTTTTCAATGAATATGAGTCAAACAGTTTAAAACCAACAGGCTGAAGACAAACAGTTATTCACTTACAGCAGGTGCCTCTTCAATAATTTTCTGGTGTCGTCGTTGTACACTGCAGTCACGTTCAAACAGATATACATAATTGTCATGTTTGTCTCCAAACACCTGTACCTCTACATGTCTGTAATAAATAAATACAGTTCATTATTTCTTTTGTGTGTAATAATAAAAGTCAGGTTGGTTTTTACTTTAAAATACTGTCAGTAAATCTAATAGGTTATATATAAATAAATCTATACTAGTTAAAATCTAATTATACTATAGCAAATTCTAAATTGCTTGATTTTACTCCACTGATATTTACGTCTTAATCAATACATGTAGTGATAAATGATCTCATATCAGTTAAAACCCATCTTCAAATCACAAAACACATACCTCGGTCTCCTCTAAAGAATATTGTTAAAGTCCTTTAAATTTTGTATTACCTTTTTGTACATGTAACCCTGGTAAAATACTAGCTGCAATATACTACTTGGCTAGAGAGAACTTCTCTTTAGCTCGATTGGTTGAGAGTCAAACTATTAAAGCAGGGGTCCCGGGTTCGATTCCTAGCAAAGGCATTGAAATAAATAGTGACCTCTGTTACATACACACTAGTGGTGTTTGTAAAACTTTGCTGCAAAAATAAAATAATCATCTGATGACATGATATGAACACCCACCAGAAGTGTGACAAAATTAAACTTCTTTTTAACTGAATATAACAAATTACCTTGGTGTTTCTACAAATTTTTCTAACAGCATGACATCATCACCGAATGATTTCAGCCCCTCAGCTCGAGCTGATTCCAGCTGTGATTCAAACTCCTCTGGACTATGGGCAATCCTCATACCCTAGAAACAGAATAAGTTAATACCATTGACTCTTAGAGAAGCATATTTTATAGGATTAGAATTGTTTTATTCATGAATGAAACGTGAAAAGAAATTTAAAGATTTTTCATGAAGTGTGGAATCTTCCATGGGTAATTAAATAATGTTTGTGCAAAAACGACTTCAAAAATTTTACAAATATTTAACTAAGACAAAGGAAAACCTTCAAATCAATTTAAACAAACCCACTTTTCCTCCACCTCCTCTCACAGCCTTGATCATGACAGGGTAGCCAATTTTAGCAGCCTCAGCAGCAAGTGTGGTGTTTGATTGGTCCTCTCCATGGTAACCCTCAATGATTGGGACACCAGCAGCAGACATAATGGATTTGGATGTACTAGAAACACATTTCAAATTGAAAAATACTCAGGATATAATTTCTGCAAACAGGAAACAGAGAATGTTGTAAATATCCTGGAAACATTAATTTTGTGTCACATTCAGATCTGTAATTATGTTTCAACTTTGATAAAAGTTGAGCTAACAAAACAACAAACTAGTTGCTTACATTTTTTGTAGTACACCTAAATGTAAATTCTTATTCACTTACAACATCACAGTAACAGAGCTAAACACTTAAGTGCCTTTAACAAATAAAAAATTCAAAAAACTTTTCTAATAGACAACTTTATAAATTCTTTTTTAATACATACAATAATTACAATCAAACCGACATCTTTACAAAATACAACTACAATTAATATGTTAGTGGTTAGTTGAATTAAAATATCTTTTAATTCTACAGTATACAGTCCATAAATACCTTTTGATGCCCATATCTCTAATGGCTGAGGCAGGGGGTCCGATAAACACCACACCCTCTTTGCCACATAATTCTGCAAATTCTGTATTTTCAGACAAGAATCCATATCCTGGATGTATAGCCTTTAAAAGAAAAAGAAAAATTTGTTTTAATGACATACAAGTCCCTTTCACATTATTTTCCCACTCATCTGAAATAACATTTTTCTCTCAAGTATAGTCTTTACTTTGTAATTTCACCCATCATTGGTATAGAGGATTACCAGAAGTGTTTGAAGAGATGCGAGATTAGTTAAATAAGTAAAAGTAAGGTGAGTTGCAAGTACAGGTGGAGTCAGCTGTTCTCCGAAGGTGTCTATAGTAGAATTGTTTACAATGGCTGCAAGGAGAACATTTCACTGGACTATAGTGCATGGAAAGAGGGACCATTTCAGGGTGTCATTGGTTGCAGATATATGAACATATGAGAGAAAACATAATCTGAACAGTTCTTACGTCACTAGAGTGTTTTGTTGAATTAAGTCATGCTTCCCTATAAATAGTAATGGTGACCTTGATTTCTGAACCTTGAAGCACAAACTCATTTGAGATTGCTTGTTATTTGGATCAAAATCTAATCAGAAAAGAAATAGCTAAAGTAGTGTTAATAAATTAGTCTTGTCAAGAAACACTACCTTAATAAATTTTTTATAACGAAACAGATGAAAACATTCATACATATTGTTTTCAGGTACAAGATGCACATTCAAAGGAGTTTCATCAAATGGTATGATTATCCACTTGGTATTTGATTTTGTAGTTTTAATGTTGGGAAATAAAACAAAATTAATTTCCCCATGAATATAAACTATTAACAGATAACCAGGTTATATCTACCAATATACTTAGCTAGAAGTTGAGCTAGCTTTCTCCACTGACAAATAAGACATACTAAAAAAATACATAAGACTCTGGAATAACACTAAACCATACAGAAAAGCATCGCTGTGATTCTTGGAATCTCTTTCGTAGAGGGGAAGTATGTCACTATAGTAGATACTAGTCCCAATAAAATATGTTGCTCAGCACGAGAGAATTTCACTTCAGCATAATTGGTTGAGTGTTAGACTTCAAAGCCACTTCAAAGCCACAGGACCAGAGATTGAATCCTTGCATAAGCAATCAAATGAACAATGACCTCTGTTTTAATGATATGTGATTTTTGTTGTAGTGAAATAAGGATTAAATTTTAGCACAATAAGAAGCAATTTACCTGTGCCCCAGATGCTTTCACAACATCCATAATTTTATCCTGACGTAAGTAACTTTGTGTGGCTGCTGGAGGGCCAATGTTATAGGCCTCATCTGCCTGTGAAAAGAATGAAGCAAATTCTAATATTGAAACATATTGGATGGTTCCTGTCAGAGATCATTACAAACTCATCTTTACTAAAAGGTAACAAAGAGATACAAGTTTGAATACTCTGGTATGGTATTGGCAGATCAGCTAAGTAAGTCATTTTGTATGGGTTTTATTGCAGCAAATATATGTACATGTACAATTTCTTTTCAAGAAAACAGTTATGTGTGGACTTATATGTGTAAGTGCATAATATATAAATGTAATGTACATAATTAGTGAATCAAAACATGTAAATTATCATTAGAAACAATAACCATGTTACCATAGAAACATGTAATGAGTCTTTGTCTGCATCACTGTAAACAGCAACTGTCCTGATCCCAAGTCGACGTGCAGTACGTATAACACGGCAAGCTATCTCGCCTCGATTTGCAATGAGTATCTTATCAATGTGCTGAATACCTGTAAAAAATAGTCAAGATAACAAGATCACCCGGCGATCAAACATACTTATACCAGTGCAGCATCATATTTCATATTAAACTTCTAATTATATGAACAATAATACCCCTCAATATAGCACCACGCTATAGGATACAAGCATCTCTTTCTCAAAGTTCAACTTTATATTAGACATGTGTTACTTATACCTTGTACAAATACAAATGACCACGCAATTCTTTACAGCAAAGCAGATTACAAATACAACTTTGACACAGTCTCACAGACACTTACCTTCTGAGGAATGATTTTGTCTGATTGGATTTTGTCTTCCTCTGAAATATAACAACATGTCTATAAGTAACATATGGTATTAACATAGATAATGAACTATTATTCAGTTTCTAGACATCACATCAATAGCCTACTTTTAGATTTTGGTGAGATGCTGATCATTATCATTTGACATCCTATCAAGAGCTTAAACTTATAACCAGGGTTCACAACTATCTTTAAATGATAAGTGCACAACAATTGATAAAGTTCAAATGACTTTTTAAGATTACTGAATATATGGCACATTTGTATCGTAAAAATAATTAATACTAGTTGATTGTTCAAGCCCAAATATGTCTTGTCCAGCGTCCCTATATCTTTTCCACAATGTTATCACAACCAGACGGGGTGTATGTGAGATATATATAGATATATATGTGTATGTGTGTGTGTGTAGCTACATGAAGTTGACAATCATGGATTATGCTGAATGCATATATGATTGGAGAAAGACACATTTATGGGTAACCATAATCAAAATAGGCAAAGATGGTTATATGTGTGAAGAGAGACTATATGAACGTGCTAAATTCTGCATGTAATGATAATGTTTTGTATTAGTTATCATAAATTTCTGGAAGGCGTTGAACGTCACAGGATAAAAATTGTCAGTCAATGAGAATTGATTTTTCACTCTCTGTCTCTAATTCGAGTCATAAATTAGATATCTGTTATTCAACATGCATATAATCATTACGAAAATTGAATTATGATGACAATCACATGCTGTAATTATTATGACAACCTGATATATTGACTAAAAAGTCTTTGAAGTGTCCTTCGACTTTGAAGGCTGGCCATTTTCTTTGCGATTTGTGACGATTTAAGCGGCTTGATTCTGGGGTCAATCAGACGCTTGTAATTTTATGGTAAATGTAAAATATCACTTATCATGAAGTTGCCCTTTCACGTAGTATTTCTGCTATTTTATTTTGATGTCTTAATTCTCATATACAAAATATCATTCTGAAGTTATATATTTGTTTTAATTTTCTTTGGCATAAGCTTTCACATTTGAAGCATTTGTTTGACTCAGACTGTGGATTCAGTTGCTGGAAAAAAGATATCCCTGCATCACTGATTATATTTTATTTATTTTATGGTGCTTGATTTTATATGAAAATGTCGCTTACTCTAAAGTATGTTTTAATTTAATACCGCATTCCAGATAATACAAATATGTATGTTTCCCGTATTCAATGCAATGAAATATATAACCAGATAGCTTATGTGATCAATTGCTGATGCTGTACGATCTAAAATTTTACACAAATGTAATGAATAATTAATGTTATTGCCTTCTGGGAATGGACACTGATTAGTACTTAAGAGACTGCGATACATTTGAATTGTAAAATAGTTTTCTAAGGTAGGAAATATTGTAATATAGGGAATGTACATTCTGTTGTGAATCTAGCAATACAGAGATGTCTTCAGCAAATTTAACAGTGATGAAATCAGACGTAAGCATTAGTTCTATTTTGGAGAAGTTTCTATTCATGGGATCATCATTGCTGGAAGTGAACAGATGGGTCGTCGTGGTTCTGTTTTCGCTGAGTTTTATCTATCTTTTGAAGAAGAGGGGTCAGAATAATTATCCTATAGGCCCCAGAACACTTCCATTTGTTGGGTCCATTGATTACTTCAGGACAAAATCACATCTACGATTAACAAATCTTAAGGACCGATATGGTGATATATACAGTATTAAGGCAGGAAATTATAACACAATAGTTGTTTGTAGTCTACAGGGAATATTAGATGGCCTTTCAGCTGATCAAGTGTATTTTTCTGGACGGCCGGACTTCAAATCAAATGATTTGCTATATTTGGGAAACCGTCAAAGAGGTATGTAGTTAGAGAAATATGACCCAAGGGAATCTAAAAAGATTATTAAGACGTCATGTGAAAAATATGTATTCATAAATAGATAGTTCTTTATCATATTTTGAAGAAAGGTTCAGAGTCATAATTGCATTTGATCTTTGAAATTTAAATGATGTTGGGTAATTAAATTTGAAAGTTGGAAAAAAAGCAAACAGAAGAATCTAGAATTTTCTTCAGTATCCAGTTTTGATACCTCATTGTTTACTTTAAATTATGTTTGATGTCTGAAGTTAAAACAGTTAATTTAAACTAATGTTTGATTACATTTGTTGATTAACAGGGATAGCAACAGCAGATCTTGGTTCAAAAACCCAAGTGAAGAGACATTTTGTAGAGGAGAGTCTGGATAGCTATTGCTCTGCAGAAGTGAATTGTGTAGAACAAAAAATAACAGATGAGATTATGAGTCTTATTTGTTATTTTCTGCAACAGTCTGATGAGATCAAAGCATTTGACCCAGCAGAAAGCTTTAAATTTGCTCATCTCCACATAATGTTACAACTTGTGTTTGATGAACCTTACAGTCCAGATGACGATTCAGTAGATGAGTTGTTTGATTGCTTGGAAAGGAGATTCTCAACAAAAAAAAGAAAGCTTAGTGATTATTTTCCTATTCTCGGAACATTCAGTGGTGATGACTTCAAAGAAATGGGAGAAAAAAGCAGGATTTTACTGAAGCATATCCGTCGTTATTTAAACAAGCATAAGGACACTTATCACCCCAGTATTATGAGAGATATGGTAGACCAATTATTGTTATTTCTGGAAAATAATGAAGACAATGGCCAGATTGAGACAGATGACATTGATTATCTTCTCCTGACATTAATGGGGTCAGGGTTTGGAGCAGTGCCAGCATTATTAACCTGGTTGTTAGGGTATATGGTGGCATTTCCAGAGATCCAGCTGAAAGTACAAAAAGAATTGGATGAAGTTGTTGGGAGAAAACGTTTTCCAAATCTATCTGATCAGCCATATCTGCCCTACACTTCAGCTGTGATCATGGAGGTCCAGAGAATTGTGACTCTATATCCATTCCTGTTACCTCATAGAAGTATGGATAACTGCATATTCCAGGGTAAATATTCTGATAATTCTATAGATAGTTATAAAATTACATTTATTGTATATTTATAAACTTTTTAACGTAAGGAACTATTATACATTAATGATTTTAAAAGAGCAGAGTTTTATTGATATTATAGTGGGCAAAGATATATATCAAATAAGAAACATTTTTGATTTTTGAGAATGAATTAAAAAAAATTTAAGGCACACATTTACATATGATATGATTTTTGATCATGTTAACATTATTTTTGAAGAAGTTGTCATAATTTGAGTTAGTGTTACCATATTTTTGTAATCGAAAAATTGGAAAATAGATTTTGGTTGGGTCTCAGATATTATGGCTCCTGTGTACAGAAAAAAAGGAAACCACACCCGTTATCTTGTAATATCCTTTTGATGGTTAATTAACATTTTCATTAATGGATCATATGAATATTTTCAGGCTATGACGTTCCTGCAGATACCCTCATACTTTTTAACATCTGGAGTGTACACCATGACAAAAGGTATTGGAGAAATCCTATGCGTTTTGACCCAAAACGGTAAGTGGTTTACTTTTCAGGCAGTCATGAAATCATACATACAATCGTTGCAAAATTTTTTATGTAAATTTCTGTAAAATGTTGATGATTTTTACCAAGGAGTATTTTTTTTGTTTATTATCTGAAGTAGCACAAAGGTTCTAGATCACAATCCCTAATGGATAACTGTGTTTTCTTTTATTTGTGCAGGTTTTTAGACGACAATGGAGCTTTAACAATTCCTGATTTCTACCTGCCTTATGGAACAGGTGAACGGAGATGCCCAGGAGAGAGCCTTGTGGATGTGGAGGCATTCCTGTTTTTCACACACCTCTTGCACCAGTTGATATTTACACCTGGACCTCAGATTCCTAACTTGGAGGGAGAATACAATTATATCATTAGCCCTAAGCCTTTCAAAGTCACTATAAGAGCAAGGGATTAAATACATTCCCTCCAATACCACACCCTCCGACAGGAAATACTCAAACACCAAAATGAAAATATCAAATATATTTATTGTAATGAGCGCATAATCGCCACTGACCGACAGTTTCACAATGTAAGTACAAATACATTGATAACACACTCACTCACCAATCTATCTTTCAACTTCATGACAATCTAAACATCCTGTCAACTCCGTAATTCATACAAAATCAGTTTATTAAAGTTTTAAATTTATTTACTGAAAATTATCTTTAAAATCAAGTCATGTGCACTGTCGGAGCGACTATCGCTGAATGACCCGACAGTCACCGGCACCTCGTGCACGTACATTCACAACACCCCCTATCGGAAAGTATGACACTGAAGGGAAAATAATTATCGGCTAATTCTGTACCATCAAACTCCGATAATTATATTTATTCAAAACTCCTAAACTATGGGTTATATTTAAAACAATCTATTTTTACTTATTTTTGTCAGGTAAGAAACAAGGTGTAATCTGATATTAGTGTTTTGTCAAAAATACTTTTTTTATTCTTTTTAATGGAGACATGAATCTTTTGTATTTAGTTTTTCAAAAATTTGGCCTAGTTGTTTTATCTAGTTTTGAGTAATATCACAACAGCAGTCTGACTCTGGAATCCCACTAAATTTCTTGATGAAAGTAATGGCTTTCATTGTGTATATGTATGACAACCACTTGGAATACAAATATCTGTCAGCATTGCGGTCATGTATCATGTCTGCAGGAAGATTTTAAAGAACTTACTTACTCAAAGTAATACAGGAATGTATTCCCAGACACAGAAATATTTGGCTGTGCTGAAAATTTCTTAAGACACTTTCTGTAATGTAATTTTGTGTGGAAATTATCAGGACACACTATGTTTAATATCGGTGATTTTTATTTCAGCACATGAGCAATTTCTATGAGATTATTTCTGACAGATTGCTTTGATTTTCATAATTTGATTTAACAAAATACCCTTGATCCATATTTAAGTAGAATTATGGTGATTTAATCATACAATTACTGCACTAAACAGATTTCTTTTCTGCTCTTTATTATGTGAGCAGTTATACAGACTGCAATGTTATTCTGTTTGAATGAACAAGGAAAAACATATTCCAGTTGAAGGCTCTGGAAGCTCTGACACCCAGGTGTATGATGCAATAACCTGCGACTTTAACTTCGCATGCTCCCTTGATGAGTGACAGAGACTTCCATCACTATGTACAGGCTACACTGACAGAGAAAAAAACACATTCCGGGCCAAAAACCCAAAAGGGATTGATTCCAGGTATTGGTTTGTGATAATCCTCTATCGGCTAACCCAAAGAAGCAACCTCTGTCAGCTGAATGACAGAGACTGTATTCCACACTGTTTTCACTCAACAAAGCCCTTCCCCCTCACCCCCAGCTATTCCCCTCCCCCATTTCCCTTCATGCATTCCCAACCCCAGAGAATTTATTAAATATTTCACATGGGGATGAAAAAGGCATGTTTCAGTCTTAATCAGCATTTCATCTTTCACTTTCACCTCACAGTGTAGCTTTTGGAAAATTACCAGGCCAATCTCTGTGATGTACTTTACTACTGTATATTTAGAATGTTTTGAAATAAGTAAGTGTCATAGTGTCTGAAAAAATACATGTCACCTAATTTGTTAAGATATTTGAATGGTGTTAAGATTTGATTACAATGTACTTTAGTGTTTGTGCAATAAGACTTTTACATCGTACAGTATTTTTTCACTTTTAATTTTGTCATTATTATGGGGTTGTTATTTGAAAATGCCTGGCTTTTTATGGTCCAAGCAAATGTAGAGCATTGTATAGAATTTTATCAGTGATCAGTGTTTGTCTGTACAAGTTATTGACTGCTTTAGGAAGGTCTTCTATTCTTTTTGTAACTATTGTTTTAACTTATAAACAATATTCAGTGCATTTTACATGTAAGATGAATATGGTTTATGTATAATCTATGAATATGTTGTTATGACAATTCAAATTTTGATGTTGTTATCAATAAAATATAAATAACAACACAATATTTCTAGCATGCTTAGCATACAGATTCAATTACACAATTAACTGTATTTGCTGTCTCGTGTGTTTAAACTGTGCTTTACAGTATCTGTCAATGTTTCCTTTATTAGCTCAAAATCTTCAGATGACAGGCTGTTCAAATTCTTTGTCAATGATCTGCCTGTTGAAAAGAAAAGAAAAAAAATGCTAGTATTTATATCTGGCACATTCCTTTATTAGCTCACAATCATCAGATGACAGGCTGTTCAAATCCTTTCTCCATGATCTGCCTGTTGAAAAGAAAAGAAAAAAAATGCTAGTATTTATATCTGGCACATTCCTTTATTAGCTCACAATCATCAGATGACAGGCTGTTCAAATCCTTTCTCCATGATCTGCCTGTTGAAAAGAAAAGAAGAAAAATGCTAGTATTTATATCTGGCACATTCCTTTATTAGCTCACAATCATCAGATGACAGGCTGTTCAAATCCTTTCTCCATGATCTGCCTGTTGAAAAGAAAAGAAAAATGAAAAAAGAAAAAGTACTAGCATGAAAAATGAAAAAAGAAAAAAACTCGCAGATACCATCACAGACATATTCACCCTAATCTTTGCAGATGATACCAAGATATGCAATGTGCTACTGATGCTTTACCTGGCTTGTACTCGTAATGTGCCAAAAAAGTTCAAATACATAGTGAAGTAAAACTGAGCCTAGTCAAAATAAAAAGAAACCTTCAAAGTCAAAGGAAATATCTACCAAACAACCATCAAAGTAAAACACATTATGTGAGAATGGACTCCATTTTCATATTCAATTATCATGCAAGTGTAAATTAGATCTAGGAGTACATCATTGTCAAAGATCTTTATATACCCTTCTGTCTGGTGAGAGGGGGAGGTAAGCCACACTGTCTGGTGAGAGGGGGAGGAAGGCCGCACTGCCTGGTGAGAGGGGGAGGTAAGCCACACTGTCTGGTGAGAGGGGGAGGTAAGCCACACTCAGGGGAGAGGAGGAGGTTAGTCCCACTTTAATGGCCAGCAGGGCAAGTCAATCTCACTGTCAGAGGCAGAGGGACAGGTCAGCCCCACTGTCATGGGTAGAGGGGAAGGTCTGCCCCACTGTCATGCGCAGAGCGTCAGGTCAGTCACACTGTCAGGGGCAATTGGACAGGTCAGCCCCAGTCTTGGACAGAGGGCCAGGTCAGTCCTACTGTCATGGACAGAGAGGCAGGTCAGTCCTACTGTCATGGGCAGAGGGGCAGGTCAGACCTACTGTCATGGGCAGAGGGGCAGGTGAGCCCACTGTCAAGTCGTGTCGAATTGAATCAGAGCCCGAATTGAATCATAACACACAAAACTGGTCTCGTTCAAATGGCCGCCTGTTTTAATAATAATGCCCGGATGTTTCACAAGAACGATAACTCCACACATAAGACAATCAGAGTTATTTCCCATTACTCTACATCTAAACACTACATCTTCTCCCCTCTTAAGACTGTCACTATTACAATGAATATTATTGCCTTTCAAAAATCTTCAAAGTTCTATTTGATATGATCAGACAACTTGTATCAATTTAAATTTAAACTCAAAATTTCCAAATTAACACAGTTCATGGAGAATACTAAATTTTCACTGTATTCAAGTCCATGTAACACACTAACTGTTAAAATTTAAAACTCAGTTCCTGTAAAACATTCCTTACTTAGGACTTGAAAATTAAACTACACTTGAATCACAATGTCACTGTAATCCAACTATGCAAAACTTCACTTTCACACAAAGTTATGTCATTTCAAAATCATCAAACCGCTTAGGCTTAGTTTTCTCGCGCACTGGTCTTGATCGCGGGATCTCCACCTGATGTGACAAGTTTGATTCCATTCCATCATTAGTAGACCTATGCATGACATCGTCATCGGCTTTGTCCTGCTTCGATACATTGTTGTCAGACATGGTCAAACTTTCACTTTCAGAAGTAGCAGTTGTAGATTTGCTCTCTACCAGAGACTCTGGACTCTGAACGTACTTTTTTACATGTGTACTGTTACGCTTATACTCAACTCCCTCAGGAGAAACAAGAGTACACTGATTTCCAACTTTCCTTTGGAGTTTAAACGGAGTTGGGTTGAATGGAGAACTTAGCTTATTGTTCCTCGACTGTTTAACTAACACCTGATCTCCTTCAACTAGATCTGATTCTTTTGCACCACGTTTTTCATCAATGTAAAGTTTGTTTTTGACTTTTGCAAACCAGTCTCTATCACGAACTCCTTCTTCGATGGTTTCATTCCGATGAACATCAAGTTGAGGTACTTTATTCCTCAATTTACGCCCAAACATTAACTCTGCTGGAGAAACACCTGTTACAGCATGGGGCGTGCCCCTGTATGCCAAAAGATAAGTTCTCAAATCTTTCTTCCAGTCACGTGATTCAGCATGAGCAATACGTATTCGTTTCATGATAGATCTGTTCTGTCGTTCCACCTCTCCATTTGCTGCTGGGTGGAGCGGAGTAACACGTCTGTGATGAATTCCATTATCACATAGAAATTCCTCGAACAAGGCCGACACAAACTGAGGACCGTTATCTGATGTAATCGATACCGGAAGTCCATAACGTGCAAACATGTTCTCAAGTGCATCAATCATCCTTTCACTAGATATATCCTTTGTAATGTCCACTTCATAATATCTGCTGTAATAGTCTATTACAACAAACACGTAGTGTCCTGACGGTAAAGGTCCTAGCAGGTCTATCGAGAGATCCTGCCATGGTCCTGATGGCATAGGGGTCGGCGATATGGGCTCGGGCCGTGGCAATGAACTTACCACTTGACAGCCATGACATGACTTGACATAAGCCTCTACGTCCTTATCTAAAGTTGGCCACCACACTTTAGTTCGTAGCTGTTGCTTTGTAGCGACAATACCAAGGTGTCCCTGGTGAGCTAATTTAATACATTCTGTTCGTAACACTGCTGGAATAACCAATCGTGTTCCACGTAACAGCAGGTACCCTATCTGGGACAGTTCATCTTTTACCGCATAATACTTTACACATTCCTTTTCCCACTGGTCTGCAGATAAAGCCTTTCTCACCAGTGTTAGCTCGGGATCAGACTTGGATTTTTCCTCCACCTCACGAGTTGTCATTGCTTTTGGGGTGCTTCTCTCTGCCACAGCTCTGACATAATGCTCTGTTTCTGTTTGTAGATCTGTTACACCACTGTGTTTCCTTTTCACAAGTCGCGACAATGCGTCAGCAATGTTCTGTTTACCAGGTTGATACCTAATACGAAAATTGTAGGGCATCAGTCTCATAACCCACCGTTCAATACGCGCGTTAGGTTTGGATTTTGGACCATACAGTATTTCCAATGGTTTGTGGTCTGTCACCAGCTCAAAATCAA